CTACTGTAAGTGTAATTTTCAACTGACTTTTAGTAAAATTATTTGTTTGACAGAAATTTACAATATTAATAAATAAATCACAATAAAATAATAATCAGTGAAGAATGACTGATATTTTAGTACTTTTCAACTGATTTTCAGTAAAATTCCACTGATTATGAATCCAAAGTCACTTTTTAAAAATACAAAATGGCGAATCCAGGATAGCGGACGAAAATGAAAGGTTTAGTAAGAGAATACGTAAAAATAACATTTCGTATAATGTACAATGACATTTTTTGTAAATGTCACTTCATAATTTTTGTCTTATTACACAATGATTTTAAATAAAATAATTTATATTTTTATAAATATTAATAATTTTTTACATTTTCTAACCACTATAAGGTTTTAATTTTGTAAATGTTCAAATTCTGGTTTAGAAAGAAAAATTTATATTATTATACAACTATATTGTCTAGACTTGCAAAAACCCAAAGTCTAGACTTTGTTGTAACAATATTGTTACAATATATATTGTAACAATATTGGTGACGGTGACATGCGTAAGAATAGTGCAGTAAAAATTTCAAAAAAACACCCTGATCATTACCTACAGAAAATCCTATTAGTAAGAAAAGAATGGACGTATCTTCGCCCTTTTCTTACTAATTATTCAGAGAATCAGGCTAACATTCAAAATCTAACCTTCTAAGTTTAGTTATTTCAAAAAAATTATTTTATTGATTCAAATAAATATTTATTTTAATTAAAAACTATGCATTATTTAATCAAGTAATTTTTATAATTGATTTAAAGCAATATTTATTAAATTAAATTATTCTATTTAATTGACTTAAGTAATTTGTATTTGGTTCAAATAACTATTTAATAGATACCATAAATTAAAATATTTATGTCCAGTAAATATTTACTTAGTTCAAATAAAAAAAAAAAAAATAAGTAAAAACTAATAAGTTTAAATACAACCGAACGAGCGTTAGCGAGTGAGGTATATGTTGCTAGTTTGTAATAATTTAAATGTTTTATTGAAATAATTAGATATAAATAAATTAAATACAGGTTTGGAAAAAAAATTAGATCGCTTTTTAGAATTTAAAATTTGATTTTTTAAACAGTCTTCAGTAAAAAGGACCAGCCTTTTTTTTAAATTAATAGCTATTATGATATATAAAAAATATTAAAACAGCTGTTTTTAAAGCCAGTGCCTTACATAAAATTGATATTTTGACTGTCGGAGTCAACTCAGAAATAATTATTTATATTTAATAAATACTGTAATATTATATATTATTATTGTATAATATTTTATTGAAACAGTTGCCTCTTTTTCATTACCTTTTCCTGCAATCTTTTGCTTCTCTTATTAATCGTTTTTATTTTCTCTCGAAATAAAGTATGTTTCTTTCTAAACAGATTTTTACCCTTCTGTCTAAGTTTTTGTTTTTCAGAAATTTTTGATTTCGAACACGGAAAACAAAATTGTTGTTGCCTGCCTGGAGTCCCAGTTTCTTTTCTAATGATGTATCCACGGCAATGTACAGATCTACAATTAAAAGAATAATTATTATATAATTGTATAAAAATTGTCTCTGCAATTTTTAAAACAATATTTTAAATGTAAAAAATTATTTTTGGAAAAAAAATATCACAAATTATATTAATGAATTCACACCTTTCAAAATTGCTTTCAGCACAGGGTAAAAGGCTTGAGACAAATACCAGCAAGTTAGTAATATCTTCCACATTATTTACAAACTGCCACTGCTCAAGAAATATTTCCTTGTTTTTTACAAAAACCTTAAAATCATTATTAAAAAAATTAAAACAAATAATACAGATATATATTCTAGGAATTTTATTATAATTCTCAAAATTAATTGAATTGCAGAGAAGAATTTTATTATTTTTGAAAATAATTGAATTATTGCGGAAAAGTTTATTAAAATATTTAAAAAGAATTGAATTTCTGTGGAAAATTTTATTATTTTTTAAAGTAATTGAATTCTTAAGAATTCAAATTCAAATAATAAGAATTTTATGAACATTGTTTTAAATAATTAATTTTTTCGAAATATAATAAATATTATGAAAATTTTATTAGTTTGAATAATTGAATTTTTGTGGAAAACTTTATTTGTGATAATAACTGAAATTTTCGATGATATTTTAAAATAGTAATAAAAATAATTGAAATTCTTCGATGAGTTTTATTATTTAGGAAAATAATTCAATTCATGCTAGTATATTAATAATATTGAATTTAATTTAATATTGAATTATTTTCAATTATTCATTTTTATAATACCTGTAATGGTACACTTTCGCAGTTGTTAAAAATATTTTCAAATTTCGATTCTTTTTTGAAATTTCGATTACCGGGCGGTGGACTAAAAATATTTACAACTTTTGTTTTTGTTTTCTTTGTATCTGAAGATGTATTAAAAATTGATGGAACTGCTCCCTTTTTTAAAGACACTCTTATAACAGAAACTTGCAATTTTTCGTCTTCCACTGCAGTTTTATAATTTCTTATAATTTCTTCTTCCAAGAAATGTAAGTCGCAAATTACGTGTTTTTTTTCAAATTTGTCCCCTCCAGGGATTACGTCTTTCCATGCTTGAAGCATTTCGTCCTACAAAAATACCGATAGATATAAAAATTATAATTTTATATATATATATATATATATATATATATATTGTTTACATTGTCATAAAAAAAATAAATAATAATTTGTCATAATAACCGTCGTTGCATGGAAAAATCTTCTTTTCATCTCATTATCTAATTGCTCTTTTTTGTTTCGATAGTCGGAAGAATTGCAATTACGCACAAAACAACAAGGCATCTGCAATATTTTATTAACAAAAAGTAATCTAATTTAATATTTTCGTAAAATAAAACAAATTGTACAGAATTACAACTAGACAAATCAATTATTTACACAAAGTCATAATCATGACTGCAGAATGACATTAGAAAGATATTGAAATAATAGTTGAAAATTATTCAACAATATTTGTAAACACTTCAAAACAATCATATCTCAATATTTTCAATTTATACATCTTGTAAGCTTGAAATAATTTAAATTAGAAACTTTTTTTAAGAAATAAAAAGTATTTATTTGTTAAAATTTTTAAAATTCAGTATAATAAATTTTTTTTCCATATAAAATTGACTTATATTTACACACAACTTTATTGCTATATATAAGTATGATATGTAAAATATAATACGAATAATATTATATATTTAGCATTTGTAATTACAATATAATGCATTTAAATTATAACAAATGAACTTTTTATTAATTATTTAATGCAGAAAATGTACATACCTCGTTAATATTTTGTCACTGACACTGATATTATTATATATTAATAACGGATATTCAAACAAAATCACAAACACGGTGCTCCTATATAAACAAAAATAAATGTGAATGTGACAGAAGCACATTTTGAATTTGAAAATCGACAGTTTCTTGTTTTTCCCGCAAGGAACGCCACCTCTGCCTATTCGAATTTTCCTGAATGACGTTATAGAGAATGGGGCCACTTTTTCTGTATTCCTCACATAGAGTGAAGTCTCCTTATTCTTACTTCATGGTTTTAGTGTTTCAACCAGGCCGGGGCCAGGTCGGGTTGCCAGATCAGGGCCCGATCTGGCCCCGACCTGGCCCCGGTCAAAATTTCTGCACGGGCGATTACACGCGACTCTATAAAAAACATGCCATCACTTTGTTAATCATATCTCGGAAATAAAAGGAAATACAAGAAAAAACTTAAATACGGTTAGAAAGATTCAATTTTGTGTAAAATAAGCCGTCTTTGAAGTCATTTCATTAACTATTTTTTGAGTTGTAGAGTGAGAAAGAAATAAAAATTATTATCAAATTTTCTCATTTTTTTCTCTTGACTTCAACTTTTTCAAAAATCTAGAAAAATTCAGATACAATTTTTTTAAAAACACAGAAATCTTCGTTGGAATTTTAGCTTTAAAATAAGCCTTCGAAAATTAAAAAATGTTAATCCGTCATCGATTCATCATTAAAAATGTAAAGCCGTGTTGTGACTGATTGGTGCATCGAAATTCAACTTTTGGGGGTTGGAATTATATGATTTATTTTTTAAATATTAATTATTTTTTCCATTTTGTTTAACTCAACCAACAAATAAAAAATTGCATTTTGAAAATAGAAGGAGTTTATTTTTATTGTCCAGCAGTCTTTTTTTCTTAATGGGTTAAGACTAATTGAGGCCTTGGATCCAATAACTCGCCCGACGCTCGGAGGAACGCGCAACTGCCAGTCAGTGAGCAGTGAGTGCCTCTGGGCCACTCACTGCTACCCGACTGGTATTAGCGCGTGCCTTCGAGCGTCGGGCGAGTTATTGGATCCAAGGCCTCAATTGTGGCTTTCTTGAAGTAGGAGGAGTTAGAATCTCATTTTAATTGGTCTAATAAGTAAATTTTCTAAAAATTTTAGAAAAACGGGGAAAAATTGCCTATTTTATTTTTCTTAGTATAATTATTTATTTTCTGCTTTTTTATTTTTTATATTCTATTAAATATACTAATAATTGTCTTTGTAATTGATTAAATTAAAAAAAGATTAAGTTCAATATACAATAGGCCTGTTCTCGTTGCCTGCACGAGTGTACACTTCTTAACCTAAGAAGTGAACTTAAGTTCTTAACTTAAGAACTCTTAAGGTGTACACCACCTTAAGAGCAGGTGCAGAAAGTGTAACGAAATATCTGTGCTGAAAAATTATGTCTGCTGTTCCAAAAAGGCACACCAGACGCACTGGATTAACGCACACAATTTGTCCTACTGTTTGTCGCATCTTTTGTGCTATTTCCAATGTTTAGAAATTAATATTTAAGAAATGTCAATGGAATATTCCATTTAATTGGGGAATGAACAAGAGTAGTAATGAAAACATAAAAAAATGTCTTTTATTGAAAGATCTAGTGTGATATCTACTGTTTCAGGAAAAGAGGAAGAGAGGATCATGTTCCAGCAGATGCAGTCCATGGCCCAGAAGCAGGTCTTTAAGAATTCTAACAATTTTTAACCTATCGGTCGCGATTCCCTCGTTTCGCGTCTCATTATGATTGTACGTAGCTGCTTGCCAGTAGAACTTCGCTGCGTGGCTTATTTATTTATCATTTTTTTTCAATTCACAAATTAGCGTAATTTCATCGTCATTCACAAAAAACTTCATAATTACATTCGTAAAGAACTCTATTTTCCCTGCCTCGAAAAATAACAATTCAATTTTCTTTTCATTATAAAATATTAATTTCACACAATTTCATATCTTTTTCGTAAAGTCTAAATAAGAAACTTTATAAAATAGAATAATTTAATTTAATTGTAATTAGATATTTCACTGTAATTTAAAAACTTTTTTTAGATTTTGTAAATCAATTTTTTTGGTAATTTAGGTATTTTCTTTGAGGACATTTAAATTTAAGTGAACAATTTTCGGAACGTACTAAAAATGGAAAGAAAAAGTGATAAAAATTGTGAATTGCAATTTTTCGATTCAGAGACAAGCGATAAGTAAAGGGGAAAGCGATTTTCAATAATTTTGCTTGACCCGAAGATATAGCAGGAACACTTTAAGTGCGAGGTGAAACGTTGGAAAAGAAGGCCCCAGGTTGGCCCAGTATTGTATAAATATGTCCGAGGCAAATATTTGTCTTTTGGATATAAAAACTTGAATTTTCACCTACCCAATGGGAAATGCCAGTATAGTGCCGATGTTCACCACTGGCTTAGTACTCAGACGATTGTTTGGCGTAGTCTAGCCGAGCCTCGACATTTAGTGCTGGCGCAGTACAGAATTTTTGTTTCGCCGAAGCTTGGACAAGCCATGGCGGCAAGTGCTGGCTGAGTATAGAAAAATTGTTCACAACGCTCTTTGCCAACATTGCTTTTTTGCCATAAACTTGAAAAAAATTATAAAAAAAGTTTGTGAATGTTTATAAATATAAATGTATTGAAAAAAATTTATATTTTACTTTTCAGTTGTTCATTTTTTATTTTTATTAAATTTAATAATAACAATTTAACATAAATTGTCTAATTTTGTAAATAATAAATTATTTAAACAAATTAAAATTATAAACAAAATTTAAACTTTAATCTCAATAATAATTTGGTTCCTATTAAAATACTATTATACTTCTTACTATGAATAAAAAATTATTAAAAAATTACCACGTAATTTACCACGCACAAATGTTAAATGCAATAAGTAAAGTAATTTAATTTAAATATTAAAAATTTAGTTTAATTTTTTTATTTCAATTTATTATTTCTAAACGTATCTCTATTTTTTTCTCATCTTTGACTCAATAATTGTATGTCTGAATGATACTGAGATGTTAATACTTTACTGTATACATGTGTCGTTAGCATAGTGGTTAGAGCGTTAGTCTATTAGTCCGTAGGTCGTAGGTTCAATTCTCCTCGTCAGCAATTTTGTTTATTTTCATAGGTTTGCGATATTTCTAGATTCCAATCGTTAGGTACTAAAATATGAAAATCTAATGCACACTTACTGTAATTGTTTATTATTTAATTTTTAAATGTTATAAACAATTTTTTTCCACTTAATTTACTATATCCATTGTTAGTCTCCATCTTTAATACAATTTCTTTAAGAAGAGAAATATTTTATGAATAATAACTATTTATTAATATTATTTACCATTTTGTTGTTAAATTATTTATAATTATTAATTTACGACTAATTAATAACAATACGGCATTTATTGTGGCAATATTCTCAGCCAGCACTGGTCCAGTACTGCGCCAGCGCTGTCTGGCAGCGCTGGCAGGCAGTACTTCGCCAGCGTTAGACAGCGTTATCATCCCAGAGTTATGCCAGTGCTGTCTGTCAGCGTAGCTGCCAGTACTGCCAGTGCTGGCGCAGTACTCCGCCAGTTTTAAATTTCCCATTGGGTAATATACATAAAAATTTTTATTTATCTGAATAATCAATTATATCAATTTTTTACTCTTATATTTTATTGTAAAAAATTTTGTTAATCGATTTTTTATTCAAACAAATTTTCTTAACGTAATGTTAAATATAATGCATTTACAAATTCAAAAATTTCTATTTTTGCTAATTTTTATTTACACGAATGAACATTTATAAGAATTCTTATATACCTAACGATAAATGGTTATTTAAATTGAAATTGCAAATGACAGAATCGTTTCGTTACGAGTTTTAAAACTGACGAATAATAATACTTTGATAAACTAGCTATAATTCTAAAATTAGTCTGAATATATTTTTTTCAATTTGCAATTTTAATGAAATGACTGTTCGTCTTTATGAAAATTTCTATTCAAATTACTATTCCTAAAAATAAAAATTAGCTGAAATAGGAATTGAATTGGAGTTCAAAAATACGGAATATTTTGTTAATTAAAAATTCTGATGAATGAAAATTCTTTCAAATAAAAATTTGTTTGAAAATATTAATTCATAATTTTAAATATAGATAATTCTATATTAAATTAAAAATAATTAAATAGTAATATTTGTCTTTGTAATAGAAATTACAAAAAAATATTTATTTGGTTTAGATAAAAATTTTATTTACGTTCATATAAAATTTATTTGTTGTTCAGGGTGCAAATAAACATTCTGTTAAGTAGAAATTCAAGTTAATTAAAATCCGATTAAACAAAAGATTCGTCAAATAAGCATTCTGCAAAAATAAAATTCTTTGAAATAAAATTCTACTAGCCAATACTGGGTAAATTCAAGCTTAATTTTGGGCCAATCTTGCACTTAGAAAATCCCCCAATTTCGCACTTAGAAATTTAAGAATATTTAATATTTTTGAAAATTATTGAAAATGAGTTTATGCCTCTTTCTAAAATAAAATAATGTATAGGAAAAGAAATGGTAAGATCCGGTAATTATGTAGCACCTGGTGGAATTAATACATATGCTATATTCATTTAAAAAAAGTAAATAAAAGTGCAATACACTCATATATACATTATATGCGATCACACGCGAATACCATCGTCACTGCTATATATATATATATATAATATTTGCATCATGACCATTTGCTCCTTATATCACTATGTATAGCCTGCTCTCTCATTTGCACAATTAGTACATGTCCCTTGCACCGCACCATCTTCATCATCACGTACCTCTTATCGTGAATTCTACTCTAAATGTTAAATGCATTATATTTCAAAAGGAAAAAAAAGGATTTTCAAAAACAAATCAAATTTTTCTTTTTTTCAAAAAAAGAAAATTTATTTAAATAATAATAATTTACGATTATTAAATCGTAAAAGAAAATTACAAACAAAAGAGAATGTAATTTTATACATGTTATAGGAGCAGTTGAAAGTAACTAGATGGACATATCAATTAATTCATTAATTACAGCAGTTCTAATTAGTCTGTTTAATTAAAAAAAATCACAAATCAATTATAGTATATTAAGCAACAAGGGTATAAAGGCAGCCATTTGTTTACGGTGATTTTTGTGACACGAGTGGAGGTCGAGGGCGCCTTCGACCTCCACTCGTGTCACAAAAATCACCGTAAACAAATGGCTGCCTTTATTCTCGTGTTACTTAAGCTGCGGTTACACCTCTGCAGGCTGCCTGCCTGCGCAGGCAGGAGCAACGAGAGTAAGGGAGAAGTTGGAAGTCACTGACTCTCTTACTCTTGTACGTTACCATGACAACCTGCAGGCAGGCAGGCTGCCTGCAGAGGTGTAACCGCAGCCTTACGATATTTTTTATTCCTAAAGGCCAACGCAGAATAGATCTGTAACCGGAACCGCAATCGTAACCGTAAGCGTAAGAATGAGTTAGAGAAGGATAAACAATATACCTATCCTTCTTTAACTCATTCTTACGGTTACGCTTACGATTGCGGTTCCGGTTACAGATCTATTCTGCGTTGGCCTTAATGCACAAAAGTGTCGATTTCAGATAGCAGACGACAGGGAATAAAAGTCAGTCGGAGTTTGTCTTGAGCACTCGTCGAGGACGGACGTGTTTATGTCGTTGCGACGAAATAGTAAACAGTGACTCAAAAGTTTTATGTTATACAAGATTTTGAAATAAAATTTAATTGCTTGTATAAAATTTTATTATAATATGCAGAAATTTTAACGAATTATAACATTTAACAACCTATGTAATTAAAATTGACAAGTTTGGGGAATGTGTTGTTTTTTGTTTCTTCCTCCTCCATGTGGACATATTTTTTTTTATGAAAACTAAGTTCGGATATATATAAAATTTGTGTCTATAAAAGTCAGTCACTTGTTCGACTTATATGAAAATTGCGGCCGTTTTCTCCCTTGGGCAAAAATAACGCATGGGATCAGCTGTTATGTTTTCCTCTTGGGAGAAAATGGACGCCATTGTCATATGGTCGAACAAATGAGTGACTTTACTCCCTGTCGCCAGCTATCTAAAAGCGCCTTTTTTGTGCATGTGGGATAAAAAACTCTTTTTAATTGAGAAAAATTCAAAATCCAATTACAACGAGAGAGTAATGATTTTGATTTGTTTTGTCAAATTAAATTATTGTGGATCCTTTTCTTTTTTGGGGCATGTTTACAAAAAAAGTTCTTGGCCGTCGGAAGTCACTCGATATATACAATGCGAAATAAAGTTACTTTAGTAAAGTAGTGTATCTCATATATATTTTGTTTCATCGATCGTGAGGCAGGAATTGATCTACATAATCTAGAAGTTATTGCCAACAACAAGTCTGGCGACACAGTGGATGTCATATATGGAAAGTTACAAGGCAGGTCTGCATAATTCAGTTTCAAACCCGGGAAAATTGTCTCTGTTTATGTACATATGTAAAAGTCTCTCTCTTTCTTTTTTTGTCTATTCTTAGGAAATTTAAATTTTTTATTTTCACTCAACTGTCATGTTATTATCAAGTAAAATTAATATTACAGTAAAAAAGTGAACTCACCCCAAACGCAAAACGTATTTTATTCATATTCACAAAATATCCTGTCTCCT